GTATGTGTGTGTGCGTGAGTATGCGTGTTTTGGAAAACAAACGAAGAGAGATGAGAAAAAAGAATATAAGAATAAGAAGAGAGAGTGAATTAGTGTGTCTGAATGATAAAGGAACGGAGAGTAAAAATAGACAAGAAGCGTGTGAGAGAGAGAGAGAGAGAGAGAGAGAGAGAGAGAGAGAGAGAGAGAGAGAGAGAGGGGGGTTCAAAAGAGAAGGAGTGTAAGAGAACACGACAGGCATAATGGTATAAGAATGAAGAGAAATAAAAAAAAAAAATGAAAAAAACGTTCTTGTGAAGAGAGGCAATGAGGAAGAAAAAGAGTGAGAAGGATTGTGTGTGATATTTAAAAAAAAAAGAAGAGGAAATGGCAAAAAGACAGAGAAACAAAGAAGAAACTTTTATGACAAAGAAAAAAAAATGACAGCCAGAAGAAGGAGAAAGAGAAGTTTGCCCTTTTTGCCTTGGAAATATATGAAAAATTATTCGAACGAGATTTTCTATTTTTTCAGTGGATACACACAATATGATTGTCTGAAGAACTCAATGATTTTATTTATTTATAAACATTTTTTGAATATTGAACTTATATATTTTCATTGTTGTTGTTTTTTTATCGAGACTTTTTCATTGTTGTTTTCTTTCATGACAATACTATTGGACTTTAAATATAAGTAATGTAAATATTTTCAATATTCATCCTTGGCTGGTGTATTCATTATCTTATTTTGGTTTTTCAATCATGACTTCAATACTCTCCAACTGCTAGTAGCGTGAAGTAGCGATAACGAAGTAGCTTTCTAAGAGGCATGAACTCGCACTTCATATCCCTCGAAATTGTCTTTTTATGAACAATGACCTAATCAGTGTTGCGACAGATGCTCCCGGTTGCATGTGGTGGAAATCTACTTTTATCTCATTGCCACCTTGTTAATCAATGTCCACACACCTCCATTTTTTTCTTTTTGCTATAGAGGCATTTGATTCGACCAAGAAAGTTATAATAAAAAGCAACGTCTTCGTAAAGTTGGCTTTATTATTATTATTATGAGATTCACTTCATCGTGTGTTTCATTGGAAAATGTATGAATCCACATATTCTCACCCCAGTGAAGGGTTAATTGTAGGGTAAACTGGTCTCTCTAGCCTTAGCTGGCAACCAGATTAGAAAAAAAAAACAACAACTCTGAATTCAAAATCGTTTGGGCATGGGGTTAACAATTCCACCCTGTAAAATCTATTTGCTATGAAAATCCCATCAGCCCCACCTAGCCTGTTATGGCGGTGATGTTATACTCCGCAGGGGAGTCTACAAGGAAAATAATAAACAAAAACTTGATAGATTTAAGAAATACATGCTGATATGACAACTGTCGCAATACAAATAAAAGCTATCACAATGTAATAATCTATTTAAAATTGAACATTTCTAATGCCATCGGTCGGTAAACAGTGAACGAATGTTTCGATGAAGAAATCGAATTCATCTTTATTTTTATTTCTCATTGTCACTTATTAGGAACAAGATTATTATCACTGTCACTAACGATGAAAAAATATTTATGCTTTTAGAAGACATCAGAAAAAAACAATTATTTCGATTATAATTTGTACCCTACCAACTCTTACTAAGTACAACAATTTAGACGATCAGAGTATAAGTAACATGTAAGAGGACTATTTTCGTGTGGGGCGACAATTCTGTCTCCTAAGTTTGCATTACTTGCAAACAAAGTATCATTCGATGAAACATCATTCACACACACACACACACACACACACACACACACACACACACACACACACACACACACATATATATATATATATATATATATATATAATGTAGGAAGTCAAACATACAGGAAATCGAGTATAATTAAATAAGGAACATGTAGGAAATCGAAAATAGTTAAATAAGATAAATATAGGAAATCGTAATCATATATATGTTTCATTTTTTAAATGCTAGCTGAGCTTATGTATGCATTAAAATTCGAGTATATACGCAGTACTACATTAGCAGCTTCACATCATTTTACTGTTGAAATTGCTAGATGTAACCGTAAGGTCTATGGTAGCAGTTTCTTTTCTTGCACTTTTCTTTGTGGGACTCTCTTCCAGCTTCTTGATTTACTGTTAACTCCGATTTTGAAAGATTTCAAGTGTCAACTTCTGTCTAATAATACGTGAAAGAGAAAAAGAGGAGCGTAAGTAAGATAGTCCGGTATTAATATACATACCTGTATGTTAATTACCTGGAGATACGGGTGACGCGGCGATTAATGGCATGCAAATCAGAAACGATGATCTGGTGGTTTTGTTCACATATGCTCTTGGAGACGATAGGCACCTACTTTCTTTTACTTCCATCTCCTCTGACCAGAAATCTTGACATAATATCCCATCACTCTGTGTCTGTGTGTGTGTGTGTTTATTTTTTCTAGAAATACCTTCATGGTAATTGATCAGATGAGCTCTTCGCTATGGGGTTAGATTTTTTTTTAATTTGTTGTTTTATCCCTCCTCCGCCACAGACAATGAATTGTACATATGGGGACTAGTTAGGACTTTCATAGAAACATTGCAGTATTATGGTGTATATAGTAAGAATGGTAAGTAAGAATGCGTTGTTGTGGTGTAAGGAATATTGTGGTATGTTTGGGTCAGTGATTGTGGCTAGCTAAGTTTAAGACAGAAGAAGACCGTCCTTTTCCCCATTCCCCATTTTGAGCTTGTGCCACATTTCTGTACATAGCAGAAGAAATATCGCTTTTTGCTATGGTACCTAGATTTTTTAATTTCAAAATACAAAAAAAAAAAAAAACCCAAAAAAAACAACATTATACCACATTGAAGTGGCCTATTTATAGAAGATAATAAATCTCAACAACACCAGAACTACATATTGCAATGTAAATTTATTCGTCCCAATATCAATTATCATTTACATAGTTGATAACAGATGGGATCTTTCTTTTTTTTCTCAATAATCTAGTCACGTGATTGAATGTAGAAAATGCAACTCATTGCATTTTGGTTATAGTTAACTGAGCCGATCTCCGCATCGTCCAAAAGTTACAAACATATTCCGAAAATAACTGAATTCTTGCTGAATTGGTTATTTCGTCCTCAGAAGGTTTTAGTGTAGGTGTTAAATGAATATATTTCTCATCAGATAAAGTGTTTTATTTCACAAGTAAATAGGTCTAATTTTGTAATTAAAGCTTTCTAGGTGTCCAGGAGCGATAAAACATACTGAATTCGATCATTTTCTGCAATTCTAACATTGAAGAGTTCCCTAAAAATGCCCGAAAGTTTCGTGTTTGTATCAAGAGAAAAAGAAATCTGAATAGTGTTAGTACTCCAAAGTCGATCCGAATTCAGCAAAAACTTTTGAAAAATTTCTCCTAATAACTGTGAAATGCAACCTTTTTAAGGTAACTTGATTCTTATAGAAACGGTGGAACATAGAAACGATTTATAAAAAAGAGAATTTCTGAGTGAACTAGGCAAAGAATTATAAGAAATGGCATAGAAATTGCATCAAAAAGTTTTTGGAAAATTGCCCAAGTAATAAGCTAGATGTAGTAAATATTGAAATTTCCCTTTCATATATTGGCCAGTAACTTTCATGTTAATACAAGTGCAAACTAAGTCAAGACCGTGTTTGCTTAAACGGTAGAAAGAAGACAGATGATAGTGGACAAAGATGTTTCTTAAAATGGGCTTTTAACGAAAGAATGAAATTTATTCGGTAATTTCCTCGATCAAACATTGTTTAAGCCCTCTTTATCTAATTTCAGTTAACGCTTTTCAAACTGTATGGAAAGACAGTAAAGAAATAAAAAGCAGGAAGTTGATATCGGGATGCTTACTAGTCGCTTTCTGCATGCATCCCATAGTCATAGCCAGTTAATTATGACATGGCTATTTGACGGGTATTGATCTCGCGTGACATGGACGTATCACTAGAATACGATGTTAGATATATAAAATAGTATTTTCTTGTTCGAAAACTCTTTTTTATTATTTTGGGCTTCTAACTCCCATGACTGTATGTCTAAAAGATGCGCCTCCTGTGATATTGTTGGTGTTTCGTTGTGGAGTAGTGATTAGCAAAGTCATATCGCATAATAAAGCTCTAGTGAGTTCGGTCATCACTATGTCTAGCATTTGTGATCTTGTACCCTACTAAGTTAAGCTTAGTAAATATTATTTAAAAAAAATAAATTTTGGCTTAATTATGAAAAGTTCAATACGAATTTTACAGTGATTTTAGTCGAAGTATTGTCTTTAACTCTCAAAATGATCAGATCTGTGAATCCCAAAGTCACTAGTCTCTTATGCTTGTATGTTTCCTCGAAAGCATTTGAGCGTAAGCAGGCGTGAAACAGTTGAATAGAGAATGTAATCTCAGTTCCAAAGTCTATGAAAACATTGCCCCTCCCCACCATTTTCCCTTCAATGAAATCTGGGAGCTGACCACTTTGCCCCAGACTTATAATCATTTTATAACTGAGAAATTTTACAGCTTCACCGTCTGTCTGTTATTAAACTCTTGCAGACAATCTGAGACATTTTTCTTACCGAACCCTCTCTTCTGTCTGTGTGTCTGTTTGTTTACAGTTTGGCTGATAAGCCGAGATAGCCTGCAGCAACGTTTTCTCACGTTCTAGTGAGATTTGGAAGATAGGGTCTGATTCTGAGGTGTCATTGCCCCATCTGGAATGATTAAAGAATAAATAGGGAAGACCCAGATATTATGAAAAATCATAACGGACATGTTTTTGTAATATTTTGTAAAATTACCATAGTTTGTTTAAATTCGTATCCTATTGTATTTTCGATCAGCTAATGAAATAACGCTAAATCTGATCATTATCAAATTGTTAAAGAAATTCTCATCTCTGAAATGTGGTTTTATCTATGGGTTATAATAAATGAAAAAGAATGAAATAATATTTCTATAATACACATTACAATTAATTGGAAACATATATGTACTCCTTTCTTTCTTTCTTTCTTTCTTTCTTTCTCTCTCTCTCTCTCTCTCTCTCTCTCTCTGAATATATGTGTGCGCGCGTGTGTGTATATGTATTTTGGTTACTTACTGGAGACACATAAAAAAGCTGGAGTAATTTTTCACCAACAGTGTCTCCGCTGTATATTGGTTATCCAATGACAAATGTATGTGAATGTCGCTGATATCCTCCTGGATAGTGAGGATGGAGTGGTTATGTGGTCAGGATGAAGGACTATAGAATCCCTAAACAGTTTGTGTTCGATGAGATAGACGAACGGAAACGACCAGCATACAAGCCGAAATTGAGATAGAAAGATAGGATCAAGAACGCAATGCAGAAGGCGAACATTATGCAAAATGGCTGGGAAAACCTATCACCCCTCCGTAGATCGTCCATAACCCCCGTAGATCGTCCATAACCCCCGTAGATCGTTCCTACCCCCGTAGATTGTTCCTGACTCCTGTAGATTGTTAATCGTGGAGGAAAGCAGTGGTAAGAGAGTCGTGTTGAGTATGAAAGATTCAAGTGAGATGTTCGTTAGGGTTTTGATGTTAATTTGCCTGAGAATGTTAACATAGAATTTGATCTAACGTGTAATGAATATAATCTCATTTAAGTAGGACAGGCTTAAAAAATCCTCAAAAACTCCAGACACATGCAGAAGTAATTCACAACAGGAATTATGCAGCATCACACTCTCTCTGCAAGTATATTACAGAGAGTGTAAAAAAAGAATGTGTCTCACTTGGCGGACTAAAACGTCATATGATAGTTCACCAAAATATTAATGTACTTGCTACATTTACGCTAGACAATCTAATACCCTATTGGCCGCATTCGCGTTGCCTGTATTTGAGAATAAGCGTTGGTATTAATTGATTTCAAGTCATAATCTTCTCGTTTTTGTATTTAACTATTTTTGTCATTATTAAAATCAGTATAGTCGACGATACTGAACCAATAATCTCTGACTATTGGAACACTACCATCGATTTCTATCATTTATCATTCAAACATTCTTAATAACATTTTGCCGATAATTCTCTTATTTTATCTTTAACTTATAGATTGCAGTAAAAGATAACAGTAACATGATTTTTTGGACGAGGGCGTATTTTCGAATTTTTAGGGAAAGCTTTTCAAGTCGTAATGTTATTTTCTTTCGTTTATTTAAAAAATAGTAGGAATTTCTTCCATTATTATTAATCAGTCAAATATTTTTAGCAAAAATAATAATAAAATAGAAAGGTTTGAAGTCAAGAAAAATGATAGATATTTTCCCTTTTAACTTCAATTTTGAAATGTTGATGCTAATGCGTAAGATAACATCACATATGACGCAACAGGAAAGTGATTTTTTTTTACCTCCAAGGAAGAATATACCATTCAAAGATTAAATACATTCAAACTACTTGCAACTTTGATTTAAGAGGATCTCGATTCAATTTTAGGTTCTTTATTTTACTGATAAATATTTGGACAGTTTTAACTGGCACCAATCATTGAACGATATTCAATCACATGCAAACAAGAAAGGATAAATATTAAAAGCCGCAACTCATTGTTTGTTTGTAGTCTTTAATCACACGCTTGCGCGCGCGCGAGTGCGTGCACTTTACTTAAACATCTCCAGTTCCTCGCACTTATCCTTCAATTCCCCAAAATATATTCTGATTTCTCGTAAAACAGGCTTTTGTGCTTGGAGTATCCTTGTCGCATAACCTTTCAATATTTCCCAATGTAAGATAAATGGTAAACGATATTAATAATTAAACATTTTCTACTCAGAGGGCAGTTATCATTATTCATGTAGTTGCAGGGAGTTGGTGAATTTGTATCCCGTGTAGACAATGTATTTTTATGTTTTACATTCGTCGGATTACCTTGTTTGCGCAGCCATATCTTAATTTTTATTGCTTGTATTATTTTATGGCGTTTGCTGGTAATCATAAAGTATGGTGTGTGTGTAAGTGCGGGGGGAGGGGAGGTTTAAACTAAATAATTTTTCATTTTCGGATGATAACTTTGCGAATTTTTTCACTCTTGAGAATAATGTTCGTTATATATCCGCTTTTCTCTAATAATCCGGCTTGCATTTTCTGGAAACTCTTCTATTAATGGAATTCGCACGCAGTCTGTCACAGATTTCAGGAGCTATAAAAGTAGCTTGCAAAAGTCCGGTGGGTAGTTGAATCTTATAGATGATAATTACGAATTATAACGCATAAACATGTCTCAGACGTAAACACACACACACACACACACACACACACACACACACACACACACACACACACACACATATGTATATATTTTCGTAAGTTCATGCTATATGGTAGAAAATTGTGGGCTAGGATGATCGTGTTGCACTAGAATTTTAAGTGGAACATATTTGCCTCGTTTGAAACTGAACTTTCCAAATTCGGCCACTGCTATTGGTGGAAAATAAAGAATTAACTAACCCTTTAAAAAAGATGTTATCGTAATTCTCAAGAAAAGGAATCTGTGGAGAACCATGATCTAAAAGCAACACACCATTAAAAATCTATCTATCTATCTATCTATCTATCTATCTATGACTGTGTGTGTATTTCTATCAAGGATATAAGAATAATTTTAATCTTATTTATCGTATAAATTCGATGTATATAGTTACGTTCCTTTGCAGTCGGTAGCAGGAGTTCAAATAATGAAGTGATGGCTTTTAAACACATACATTTTTCGTCTATGTTCGCCCACACATATATATAAGCACAAACACACATTCGTATAATTACACATACGTATATATAGCTATACATTTTCATATCTCTGTTGAAAAATACAGACATTGGCATACATAAATTGAGAGACGATGATCAAAATGAGAAGAATTTCCCCTTTAATATATGATTCCTATTATTTGGAGATCTTTTCTATTGCCCGTCCTTTGCTGATTGGATGTCGATTACCATTTATTTACTAAAGTGCCATTTGTAAGGAAACCTTTTGTTAAGTTTTATCTTAGAGTCTATTACAGACTCTTTGAAATAATGTCTTTTTGCGCTGAAAGACTTGAATTTATTAACACTTGCCAACAAAGTTCACAATATAATTTTATAACATTTATGACGTAGATTGAGTATCATTCATCACTTATTTCCTGGCTTGACTTTTAAATTTGTTTCTATCTATCTATCTATCTATCTATCTATCTATCTATCTATCTTAGAAGAAAGTAAGTATTTGGATACTTGCAAAATGTTTTATATATTTTTTTACATACTAAAGTTCACCTAGTGTAAAACTCGAGATACACTTCAGGTCGATGGTTATTAGTAAAATGGCTACAAAAATGAAGTGATATATGCGTGATATATAACGATTGATCCTTGATTTGAAGGGATTAAGATTGTAGAGAAGTATATACGCGAGAGCCTGTTCCACAACATTACAGTTCTTGGTAAAAAGCTGTCTGGACTACGGAGTAAATGAAGATGTAGCATGGCGTGTCCTAGCTGGAATTAAAGAATGGAATTCATCTGAATATTTGCCATGGAAATACCGATAGACTAGCGATAGGCCAGCGGGGTTATGTCTGTCGAAAGAGGTTGTAAAGTGTAGAATAAGTCAGGCTTACAATTTAGATTTGCATATATATATATATATATATATATATATATATATATGTGTGTGTGTGTGTGTGTGTGTGTGTGTGTGTGTGTGTGTGTGTGTTGCTTGATGAAATATCTAACCGCAACTTGGCCTGTATATTCGTAGTCAGGGTGCCGGAAATGCATGGATTCTAAGAATTTTGACACGATATATTCAATATTGTCCCGGCATGAGCGGGTTATAATATTAAAGGATCAAGTAAACAGGTAATAACTGCAGTTACAGGATTCTGTATACAAAATGGCAGAACTAGCACCCACAAACATTGTGTCATAAACCTAATCAATATGACGAGAGATTGTTTGCTTCAACGAGGAGGGACGAGAAACTGTGAACGAAGATCAAAGAAAGAAATACAATGTTATCGGTGCTATTATATCATATTTAGGAACTGTAGGAATATCAATGCCAAGCTAAATTTAAATACGGCGTTACCTGTAAATGAGGTTCAGATTAATAAAATATACACGTCTTTCGTGTATTCTAGATGTTCTTGTTCGATTGTAACTCATTTTGTTAGCTGCAAAGAAGGGAACACGTTCACCGTAGAGTCGGAATTATAAACTATGGCGCTTGCAATGTGAATTTGATTAAGACTGAATTGCACGAGATTAATCCTATTAAAATGTTGAATATCAAGATCAACCAATCAGCTACAGTGTGTTTTACGATGAGATTTAATAACTGTTTTGCAGCCATTCGAATCGATGAATCGTATTTCAGTGTCATTTTTCACATTAAGGGGCGCATTTGTATTGAAGCATGGATAACCAGGAACACGAGAAGCTACAGACTAAGTTTTTGATTACTCCGTGTCTATACAAGTTAGAGGAAAATATAAACGGGAGATCCACGTTTAGATTGACAAAGGCCAGTTTATAAGTTACATGAAATAGACATTTCGGTCTCCGAAGGACTTGATTGCTTTCGTGGCTTTCATTCAGGAGAACAAGACGAATATGCGTTTGTAATGAATTACACGGAAGGACATGAATGGACATGTCAATGAGCTTCTGAATACAAGATCAAGTTTACATCTGCGCAAATAATGACGTCAAGAAAGTAAAACTATATCCATTGTCTACTTAAATTAAGCATACCTGCAAGTGCATGTTCATGATTTCCTGTGACTGTTTCAGACAGTTATGTTTTAAATAGGGAAGCATTCGCCTTTCAAGATTAAAATTTGTTCTCAGTTTAGAACTGTTAAAAGTTGAGGTCTGTGCTGCTGGGTACTGTATTTCGCAAGAAGAGAGACACCAGCTAATATTGACAATAATGAAAATACCCTGCCTACTAGTTTCAAGAAGCAGTTGTTGAATTTGGGTCCAATTAGTAATAAGATGGTGCCCAAGGGCTAAGTTTGGAAATCTGAGCTGATTTTGGAGTTACAATGGAAACTAGAATGCACATTTATGATAATTCCGGATGTTATCACAAGAAGTTATTACGTGATTTTTTAAAAATTTTCAGGGAATGTATACCGTCATTTCTCAGTAGGCAGGTGACTGTACATAGTGACAGGGTTAATAAAATGTAGTATTTGGATGATGAAGTAGATGATAACCCTCTCAAAAGTACGACATAACAGATCATCCTTAGAGTATAACAGAATGATCCTGCTTGAGAAGATTAGTGCGTAAATGGAAAATAAATAAATATTTTGGTTGATTCAAGATTTATAAAATCGTATCTAAGTATGCTTATTGATGCACTCTCGTAGCGTAGCGGTTATCAAGGCGGTAAATAAAATCGGTATTTTGAGTTCGGTCCTAATCTGTTGCATTCATTTCACATTAATGTCTCTAGGAATGGTAGAAACCAATTTCTTCACTCTTTAGAACATTATGGTTTCAATAGGAGAGTAGACTGGACTCGTTAGTCTTGGTTAGCTGTTAGTCTAAGAGAAGAACAATTTAAAACCATAGAGAAGTCAGCATGGAACCACCCCATTATCTTTCTTAAGAAACTTTGGTAATTCACAAGAAAATGAATCTATGGAGAACCATAATCACCTATGTCCAGAAGGGACATGTCATTAAAAATCTATCTATCTATCTATCTATCTATCTATCTATCTATCTATCTATCTATCTATGTGAACCCTCCTTTCTCTCTATAATTACGTCCTTATCCATCTACTTGTCTAGCTTGTTGTGTATATGTATTTATGTCATTTAATCGAAGATTTTCCCCACCAACTGCGTTCAGTTCAAAGAAATCCATTCAATTGTTCAGAAAATATTTTGGCTTCATCACCGCGAGAATGTCGACGAATTTCAAGCAACTTGAACAATGGCGAAGAAGACGAGTAAATTTCCTCTTGGCCCCCTCACTTGTTATCAGCAATAAACTCTGACCTTTTGTACTCTATGAAACCATGTAATTTTCAAATTCTGTCCCTGAAACTAACACACCTTTATCCCGGACATTCCCCACCCAGCACGATGTGCTAATTTTGATCACCAATGTTAAACTAGACGAGTCAAATTAAGCGATTGTTATTATACAGCGAACGAAACTGAAGAGCGGACACTCTTCTCATTGTCCTTCCTTTTCTCAGGCTCACTTCCCCTCAGTTCGTGGCCAACCCGATCTGAAAATGACCTATAACTAACAAACGGACGGCGAACTATATTAACGTCTAGTGATGGCCCCCTCCACTGAGACCTCTTCACCCGCCAAATTTATTGGGTTGTGGTGGATATGTGCGGAGGGAATGTCTACAAGTAAAGTCCATATCGTCTTCGCTTAATTGGACGTTATCAATTGAAACGATGGAGCAAATTGTATAGCTTCCGCCTAGGAATCGGTAGTCGAAGCGACCATTAAGAACTGGGCATAGTAATACGTCGTTAGATTATTGCTGGGCCGAACCCAAACCTATTGTGTACATACACTGGTATCTATCTATCTATCTATCTATCTATCTATCTATCTATCTATCTATCTATCTATCTATCTATAGATAGATAGATAGATACAGCTATAGGTACAGATAGATAAATAGATAGATACGTGCACATACAGGTGTAGGTATAGACACATAAAATTCATATATAACTCAAGATTAACACAGAAAATAATAAAAAATGGTTTATTAGGCCATATCAAGTGATCAAGTGTTAATGTTAATGTGGCGTCTCGCTCTTGGAGTTATTCATAAATAAAAATTCATACAGCATTTAGTTTGAATGATACAAACTGATGATGCTTCATAAAACAGGTTATTGACAATATTATTTTTACTAACGATAGATATTATAAGCGGAAACTCATACAATATATTACTTATGTAAATGTATCTTATATAAATATAAGTTTATACTGAAACTTAACAACATCGATTGGTCAATATCAATTCTATTGGGAAGGCATTGATTTGCATTATAAAATATGATATAGTACATGCACACACACTTACACATACACACAAACACGTATATATATATATATATATATATATATATATATATATATATATCAAATGTTAGTTCAAATCTTATTAAAAGGAATTCAACTTTTTATCTAAATTGTAATAAAAAGCCACAATAACGTGAAAAAATTGAGATGATTCAAAATTAATAATAAAAATACTTATCTCAAGATTTAAATAATCAAGATTCTCCTATATTCACTAAGTAATATGGTATGAAGATTTAGAGACGTTGTGACAATATTACTATATACTAGAGCACTAGTTAACCATATGTTTTCTGTAGGTTATTGTAAATCTTGGTTAATTAATCATAAAAGTCGATTTTTTAACACCAGGGTGTCTTTTCAAATTTCGTTCGCACTAATTCCTTTAACGGTCGGAGGACATTTCACTGAGAATTTTGTGATGATAAACAACAATAAAATCGAGAGAATTTTAGTAAAACATGGGACATAAGTGGGTGGCATGGTTATCTGTTAGTAAGTGTTCAAATAACAGAGATTTCATCAAGAGTTGAGTACAAACTAGAATCTGTCTTGCAAAATGGATCATAAGATTAAACAGCTTTTATTATTTTGCTAAAAATGAGAGTCAAATTTTTCTTTCCTCTTCATATATATATATATATATATATATATATATATATATATATATATATGTGTGTGTGTGTGTGTGTGTGTGTGTGTTTTATATTACTACAAGCAAAAGCCCTTTTTACGCCCTCATATCCTCAAAATATGACAGCAATGAGGACTCAAAAAATAGTGTGTATATGTATGTGTGTGTGTGATCGGCTATTGTTTATGTGTTTAATTCTTCAGTGCCGGTTTTGAGTTCATATTTTTGGCGGCGAAGCTCTCCACTACTTCCTATCTATTATAACTCACAGCAACTTTTTACAATTTACTATTCTTGGAAAAAAACTTTAATAAAAATAAATACTTTAAATTATTACAGTAATATTATCTATAACTATAATTCTCAAAATGTGTGTGTATGTATGTGTGTATGTATGTGTGTATGTGATCGGATGTTGTTGGCATGTGAAAATAAGGAAAAATGTGAATCTGTTTATTAATTTATTAGGATTTCACGTAAAATCAAGTCGACTCGTACCGTATTTCTCTTCCTGTTCTCTATTTCGTTCATACACCATAGATATTTGTACCAACAGTAAGTTAAAACAACGCCATTTTTCAAGATTCAATCCACTGTTTTACTTACTTTACTTACTTTACTTACATTAATAATTATAATTAAGACACCCAAGATAAACACGCAAGAGGAGTTTCTAGCCAACTCGAAATGCTAATAGGTAGATTGCTATTAGCGGGAGAACGCGACGACATTGATCAATATCCATCAGACCGAAAAGAAAAAAGCTCCGTCGATGATATTCAACGATGCAGAACGACAATTTAGCGAATGTAATAAAATTTAGTGGCGGTAAGTCTCCTGATATTACGAAGACGTAATTATATAATACGATTGATAAATATGATTGTGTGTGTTACGTCTATATTCTAGCATCTGTATGTGGTAGCGGTTTGTCTGAGATTTAGGGAGCCATTGTATATAACAACTTAGGTTTTTCTATCTGGTAGACAAGAGAAAACATTGCTTCTTTTTGTACTGTCATCAATCCAAGAAACATGGCACACACACGCACATACATGTTTAAGCATATATATCCTCTCATTCATACATAATATATGAGTAGAAAATATGTATGGTTTTATATATATATATATATATATATATATATATATATATATATATATATATATATATAAAATGTTTGTATAATAATACATGTCTCTGTTCGTAACTAATTATTCCTGATCAAACACATCTGAAACAAAACTAAAAACATCCTACATTAAATTCTCTAATGCTTTCTCTATCACTCTTCGTTTTTTATGCAACATTTTTGTACTAACATCCAATTCACAACCAATTCTTTTCAATTATGTACAATACGATCATTTTTTTCCTTACATTATTACTTATATCTTTTTTTTCGTTAAAATCAAAGCCCCGGGAATTTGGATTAAACTATAAAAAGTTGTCGATATCTTCTCTGCACGACCAAGAAGCAGTTCCCGCTCAAAATCTTATATTTGATCTCTTAGTTCACCTATGGTTATTAACACAGTCAATTCCATTATTACACGCAAGCTTATTTTCTTGTTGCCTTTTAAGCGCGCATATATCACCATCATGACTACCACCACCACCACCATCATCATATCAGCTGGCTTCACTTCTTTTCCAAACTTTACTTTTAAAATACAGCAGTCTTCGAATAATTGCAGTACCATTATTGTGTATATTGTCAATAACTTCATACAGTTTTCGTAATGAATCAATGCTACGTGTCCAAATCTAGTTTCATCGTCAACTAAAGCTAAACAATATTGTTTGTTATATTCTGTTGATTTTTTCCTATCAGTTCGTATCAGGTTTATTGTTGAGAAGCCACCCCTAACTTATCTGATCGTATGCCTGGTCTTCATCGAAGGTATTTGTTATTCTGTAAGTACTTTCGATAATAATTTGTAAACGTTCAATATGATAGGGCAATCATTTCTAAGTTATTTAACATTCTTCTTTTTTATTTATACATTTACGTTTTCTAATTCATAAGTTTTACCAGTGTTTATTTTTACGTGCACACTGAATAAATAGCAGTGTAAAAATTTTCACGAATTTTTAAAAGGTCTGTTATTATGCCATCTAAGCCTGGTGCTATCAATGTTTAATATTTTGAAGCGAAAGTCGTATTTTGGTAACGACAAATACGTTTCTCTCAAGAAATTTGTGAGGTGATAATTGACCATCATAGTTTTGGAATGGGATTTCGAAAGGTCTCCAATCATTTCAAGATCCACATCAATACAATTAGAGCTATGATTCGAAAATAGAAAGAACACTGCCTGAGTACCGATCTGTCTTTAAAAGGATTTCCTCGTAAAAACAATGAATAAGCAGCTCAATCCATTTGTGGAAACTAATCCATAAACTATTTGCAAGTCATTTACAACCCGAGGCGAACTTCAGAAGAATCTGTAGGTAACTGGGACAGGAGTGTGAAAGCGTAGAATTAATCGGACACTCTATCGGGTGGGTCTGCATACTTGAAGAAATATTGGAGTTTAACGAGACTAACCCCCCCAAAAAAAAAACACTTCTTATGATGCCACTGCCAAATACCATCCTGATATTTAAGCACAATAATGGGAACGATTTGCGACTGTTTTCTCCATCAATGCTACATGTTCACTGCATATTATGGAAGGCAATATTGAATAAAGACATCTATGATGAAATACTAAAGAAGAATATAACAATTTTCAAACTATTGACAGGTATTTTCAGCAAGATAACAATCTCAAGCATAATGCAGTGTCAATGAAAGGGGGATTATAGGTGGAGAAAATAATGGTTTTACATTGGCCCAGTCAGTTGCTTAATCTAAACAGAAATATAAAATATATGAAAAGAGCTTTTGCCGAGGAATTCACAAAACTTGTCATTTTCCGTGATTTGTTAATATGTGTGGTATATAATTGTTCATTTCTGCCAGAAGCTTACGTCAAGTTGCTTAGATATCTAATTGATATCATATCAAATAATAAATACTCTATTGAATATTGAAAGCTGCTTATCGATGTGTTCAAAATTTTTGCGAATTACTTTCTCTTTTATTTGTATGTCAACATTTCTTCAATTTTCTTTTGAAATAATATATCCTGAGTCTTTACTACATTCAGTTCAAGATTTAGATTAATAGTAATAATAGAAATTACTATTTAATTAATGTGTCCAATACTTTTTCGTGTTTCCAATGTTTTTAATTCACTATATATATATATATATATATATATATATATATATATCTTCTTATCTATCATATATATATATATATATATATATATATATATATATATATATATATATATATATATATATATATGGATAGATAAGAAGAGCAAAAAGACAGAGAGAGAAAGAGTGGGAGAGAGATTTAGTGAGATTGATGAAAAGAAAAGAAGATTAAAGGGAATGGAGAGAAACGGGGTTGCACGATTTGCAGATTGAAGTAGTTTAAGCAATAAAGAAAAGCGAATGGCAAAGGAAAGTAAAAATAAAGCGTCAAATGAAAAGAATGAAAAGAAGTATTAGAAACAATATTTTGAAAAGATCTTTTGTTACATTGAATGCTAAACGTCAAATAGAGTAGGCCGATAGATTTCGCGGCAAAATCATTGAGAGCGTCTGGGGAGAGAGGTTCCGCCTAGAATGATGGCTGTTATAGAAAAACACATGTGATTGCAGAATCAATTTGAATACACCATATTGACACTTGCACTTCACAGCACACACACACGTATGTATTTAAATGTATACATAAATATTACACAGATATTTATAAACATTTACATGAATTTTCACATTTATCTAAGTAAGCAAATTTCCATGCATTTCCCTTCAAGTATACATGTAGATATACAGATATATTTCTATAT